ACTGATAACGTTCGTCGTTGGTTCGGTAACGCTTATCGCACTAGCAAACCCGGGTACGTATTGTTCAACTAATAGTACATCAATGAATTCCAAGCCAGTTGATCGCAGTCGACATGCCATAATGGTCTCAAAGATACCGGTCCACTGATGTCTTGCAAAACGACTTATTGAGTAAGAAAAGTTTTCAATTTACACAAACTTTCTAAACCGAACCGAACTAGATGTAGTTTAAGTGGCTGTTAAAGCCAAGTTTCCTCAGTTGCAGACAAAATGATTTTATGATAAGTTCAGTGCAAGGGTGGAGCATGTCGGACATGCTAATAAACCGGGAAATTCAAATTCCGTTCTAAAATTACGCGAGTAGTGATAAAAATTAGCTGTCCGGACGTTACATTTCATCCAGGAAATTCATCCGATTATGCTTTTTGATTACATTTTACTGGAACTTGTGGAGGACTGATGGGAACAAGCGGAACTCTTGTATTTGTCAAGTTGGTTGATCCTCCGAAACTTTCCCGGTCAATACGGACTTTTCCCAGAGAAATTTACACACATACCTAAAATGCATACACTAGCAATGGTTAATACAATACAAAAAGTTAATTATTCAAAATAAAGTAAATAAATCTGGAAGATAACCATTTAATGTAAGGATTGGCATTTTAGCCATTTCAAACCGAGAAAAGCTCATATATATATATATATAACCATTGGCCTGCAGGCAAGCATGGTGTTGGCACAACCACTGGAGTAAACGAGAGCGACGGAGGTGGCATACAATACAAAAAACTAAGCATGATGGCGGTTTCACAAAAGGCCATGTGGTGAGCTGATCAATCACAGGTTATTAATGGCTGTAAAAATCATATCAACTTGTCTCTAACTAGACAGATGCTTTATGTCCAACAATTTATTTGTAAAGCTTACCGCAAGCAAGGGCTGTACCGGTGAAAATTCTTGGGTACGAAACCTTTCTTTGAGCTATACGCTCTTAAAAGCTTTTCTTTGATGTCGTGTGGACTGCGCAAAGGTTGATTTCTTCGAACAGGCCAATCAGATAAGCCTCACTGGCTTCTTGCAGAGCGGACACAGCCGAGCTCTAGAAGGGCAGGTTAGTATTGAAGTCCTGAGCGATCTAAGGGACAAGACGTTGGAACGACCGTTTGCAAATCAACAATTCCGTGCTTTTTTCGTAGCGACGGATTTCACGAAGCGCGACAGCCCCGTGCCTGTAGCGATGCGGTTTCTTCACAACACCAGTGACGGGTGCGCTGTTGCTAGCTGTCTTTGTGGCCAGCTGTTTGCGGGAAGCCTTGTCTCCCGTGGATTTGCAGCAGTTTGCTTTGTAGGAGCCATTTGGACGGAGATTTACCTCGAGACGACAGCCTGAATCCAGTTGAGCTTATTTAGTGTCTAATGTGGAGTCCGTTGTCATTACCGACTTTCTTTCCACTGACTAGTTGCCTTCTTTCACTTAATTACGTACACATGGCGGTGGTCAACAGGTCAGAATCTGTAAAACTGCTCTCTGGAGGCCTTGAATTCAAACCTCGCCGCCAGTGCCACCACTCGTCTTGCCACTTCTTTACTTCTCAAGACAGCCTTCTTTTGGCTGCCACCCGCCTCCTAAAATTTCGCCGTAAACTTATACATTAAATAAGAAATAAGGATTTAAAAAGACTATCAATATTATTACTATTATTATTATTATTAGCACAGTGCCAGTACCACAAATCAGAGTTTGGAGGAATCTCATTCAAATTGCAATGAACAATACTTAATGGGAACCACAATGGACGAATCGTTCAATCACAGTAAATCTAAACGACTACAGACATGACAATAAAAGCTTACCGTATGTGTAGAATGGGGCTTGCCATCCAAGTTTTTCAGCCAACAGACCCGATAGCGACAGGCCAAGCACTGCCCCAGCGTAGGAACCTGCAGCGAAAGAAAGATGATGTGAGCATTTCAGTAATATCTAAATAAATATTTAACCTAAAATACTATTGTATCTATTCTTATCCGATTAAATAGGTGATCGCAAACCAAAAAAGTTCCCTTCGGAGTTATGTAGCACTAGCTAAGACCTCTTTGGCGAAATTTTCGAATGACTTGCAGTGTGCGAATCGACGAAACAGATTATTAAGTCATTCTCAAGTTTTTAAATTTGGGCTATCACGTGTGTGTGAATAGGTTTGAAGAGGTTATACGCAGCTGAAAATTGTTCACTTTTAAAAATTGTGAGCAAATTGAATAGTATCTCTCAATCATTCAGCAAAAACCGGCAATCAATATGAGAGGCATAATAATAATAATAATGTTTTTATCGTTATTCTTGTTATACTTTTGTTGAATATCTCGATAAAGTTTCCTTGAGGAGTTCGGCAAAGGCCTATAACTGATTATCGCTTTACAACGCGGTCGATATGCAAATGAGTGTGCCAAATTGATGGAAGCACAATGTTGGCATTTATGCACATGCAAAATTTAACATTAACTGTTAATTATAAACGGAGAAATGCAAATCTTTGTATATTTCATCTTGTTAAATTGTGAGCCGAGTGAGATCAAAACGGCATGAGTAGTTGTTTATTCAGTTGTCGGTAGTGAGGATATTGTTCCGCAGGTGTGGACTGAAACCGAACTTAACGCGACTGCAATTTAACTTAGCGCAGGTCGTTTTAAAATTGACCCTAGGGGAAACTGGTGACTTCCGTCGGAGCCGAAACTAAGTGAACCGAAAGAAATATTCTTGGCTTCTCGGACTCGAGATTTGTTAAATCTAAATCTGACCAAACCATGTCAATGAGAGATTACTGCAATTGGGTCTGAGTGATTCAGTTCATTTCACGAATTTGAGTCATTTATTTTTAAGTCGACATGAGAAACATGTCAACGAAAAGCAAAAGAAATCACAACTTCAATGGGAAGCTGTTGGCTTGCAACAAGATTAGATAAAAGAATTTCCTCTTTGAGTGGAAATTCCCTAAAAACCTATTGAAGTCAAGCTCTGTGGGTGATAGCTTGATACAAGCTTGTCTATTCCCAAATATTTGTTGAAGGAATCATTGATACAAAATAAAAGGAATCAATAGGTAAATCTTAAACATCGAAGGATCTGGTTCTGACCATACCAATTAATGTTAAAATTTCACAAAGGGTTTCTTCCGTTCCCGATGATAATAAAAAGATTTAAATTTTATAATTGAAGACGTGTGTTAGGCGTATATCGCACAGATTCTATGAAATCAAGAGGGGCACAATGGATAGATAACTAAAAGCGCTACTGACGTACTACAGTGCGCGTACATCCCGTCAGTAAACTACGAGACGCGAACTACGAATTCCATCGCAAACACCCAGAGTGGCGTAACGAATACATTGCACAGTTTTCAAAGAAAACAAAGAGCACAATCCGTCTCATTCGGAAGTGTTTGCACGAGTCGCCAATATTTCAACAGGAAGGGCTTACGGATCAACTGGTGTTTTCCAACTAAGCTGAAACAATGGTGCAGCGCCAAACTCCAATCAGACGTGCGCACACAGAGGTTGATCTGAGATGCGGAGGAAAGGGGGAAATCAACAAAAAGGACACGGAGATAACAAACGTACCGCAAAATGCTATAGTGGCCAAGCGAGATCGTTCCAGTGGTGGAGCCCAATAACGCCATATCCCATGACACGCCGGGTACGAAGTTCCCTAATCAGAAAATCGTAGAATGCAAAACAATACTGGTTGATCGGTTTTCAGTTGTCGCAAACCAGCATGTGTTGACATACATTATTTGGTAATAATAATGTTTTTCGCTTTCATATATTTGCTTCAAAACAAATGTATAAGGAAATGATCCATGACCAGCTATAGGCTATGAGAAAAAATGCTCAAGTGGGAAAATAACATGCTGGTATTCGGATTCAAATCAATGAAGTCCTGGACTTCGGTTTGCGCCTCGCTATCGCCACTTTAGAGCAGCTGAAACTAGTCAACGCCCTATTTTTCTAACCATCAGATGCTACCGAACAGATCAATAGAATTTTATTATAAAAAACAGACTACTAGATGTTAATTGTTAGTCTGGTAATCATTAAAGTATCCCTAACTTACCTTCGTCTAATTGAAAGCGGTGGGGTGGGGCTGACAACATGACATAATCAAAAGCAAGAAACCGTTTCTCATACTTTAGGTGGTGAATGTTTGGATTAGCCCATTCGGTTTTTCACAGGCACCAAGCACT